TTTTATGTTCTTTATATATATGTCTTTACTAGTTGGCTCGTATAGTTCGATTTTTGTTCATATTGGTCAGCATCAATGATATATACGATGTTAAAAGATCGTCCATTTTATAGCCCAACGATGTCTCGCAAAGCAGTTTGGAGCCACGAACCAAATTCCCAATTGTCATATGGAAATATGTATTACCCGATGACCAGTTCGAGATGCGTGTAAATGGATGTGTGACCAGTATATCCTGCAAAAGTAGACAACAATATGAAATATACCATAATAAAGGATCAATCTGTAACCTCATACCTTCGTTACTGGATGTATGAGACTCACGCCGTGCTTGTTAATGGCAATGAGCAACATTTCGGGATAGTTTGGCTCGGTGGTTTGCTTTACCTCAAAGAATGCGGAGCCGAAGGTGGGCCATCTAAATAAATAAGATTTTAAACGATAAGTTGAAAAAGCAAATTCGATCAACACGTTCGCGCATATGGAGACCTACCTGTATACGATCTTAAGGAATGCAACTTTGGCATCCTCAGAGCTCATGCCCCCATCCTGATTGTACGAGGCAACAATGGAACGTTTCCATTCGCTAGTGCTCTGCATCTTCATAATATCAGAGGGTATCAATTCACGTAGCATTTGTCTGGCAGGAAGAGTTTACCATTTTGAATACATGTGCTGTATAAGGGATACTGGCTAAGCACTTACGGTATGGCCTGCAGCTCCTGCTTGTTTTCACCGAAGCGAACACGAAAGACAAGCGCGGCCAGCTTGGAGGCCTCCTCGCGTGAGCATTTATGATAGCCGCGCAAGAGTTTCGGCAGCTCCTGGTGATAGTGAAAGATTAGATCAGCATTGCGATCCTTGCCTGGCACCGTGTTCGTCCATAATTTCTTCATGAAGAACACCTGATAGGTGAACTGTGGATTGGCGCCATCGCGTATTGGTCGCGCCTTCTTTATCCAGTCGGTCAGATGGCGAACGAAATCGAAAAAGAAATCACCCTCGGGCACCGAAATCACCTTATCGGCAATTTTCACGAACAGCGAGAAGCCTTCGCTGGTGCGCAACGATAAGCGTTGCGAGATATTGTTGCAAAAGTCCTTGGCGCGCGTGGACGAGTCCACTTCGAATGCCTCATCGGTGTCATCCGGGAAATACACCTTGTGAAAGATTTGCGTTGTCTTATGCTGTATGGCCTCCACCTCCACCTGATGCGGCGGATACTTGCGCTGTCCGTGTCGTATGGTCTTCTGCAATCGATGCATCGAGTCCTGTGAGATGGGATGACGGCGTGTGCGCAAAAATAGCAGCAGCTCCTTGAGCAATCCCTGCGAGCAGGCAAAGAGACCAGTTGCGAGCCACATCAGCTCCCAGCCACGCTCCTCGGACATGCGATTACGATTGTCCGTCAGCTGCTTCATCAGCTGGCAATAGATCTCGTCGCGCAATATCTCATGCTTGAGCGGACCGTCGAATATGTGATCGGTGATTTCGTTGCCCATGCGCGGCCGCTTCGATGGCAAATCGCCCATGTATTTGAGTATGGCAGCAAAGGCGAAGCATGCCTCCTCCACAAGTTCCTCCTTGCTCTGCAGCTTGCGTAAAAGCGGCGCCTTAATCGGATCCCTGGCATAGCGCCACAGTTCCTCGCTGCGCTTCGAGCTGAGCGTTAACGTCTTCGACATTGTTCGCTTGGGTGGCAAGCGGAAATGATCGAGGGCATATTCCATGAGCGTGTGCGGACGATCGCGTGGTTCTACGACGCCACCATTCGATACCATGCTTAGACGCCGGCCATGATGCGCCTCCTCGATGTTGAACAAGGCCAATATATCCTGCGGTGGCTTGCTCAGCGTGGGCAGCACATACACCGTTTCGGCTGGAAAATCGCCGCGTTCCTGTGTGCGATCACAGCGGCCGATGCACCAGCCATTGTTCAGCACGGACTCGCCGCACGACTCATCCTCCAGGATGATCAGATCACCTTTGAAGAACGACAAGAAACTGGTGCTGTCCGAGGGTGCACGATAATCCTGCAACGCAATCACATATTTGGAGCTACAAAAGAAAGGAAAATTTCGATTATTTAAAGTGGAATTGAGAATAGAGATGACTCCCTTCGTACCGTTTCTTGAGACCATCCAAAAAGTAGACTACAAGGTCACGTATATCCTCAGCATTGGGACTCTGGAATGTGAACTCCTCGCCGCGCACTGTTGACAGGCTGAAGGTCTGGGTGAACACCTTGTTTGTCTTTTGGCTGGCCACCGCTGTGATCTCCGGGAAGCTTAGCTCGAGCAGCACCTGCTCCTGATCATCGACGACATAGACGCCCGTCCAGTTGACCGCTATGATGACATCATTTTTGGGTAAATTTGGTCCGGAATTGCGATACGCTTCATAGAAGCGTGAGAAGAGCAACGGCCATTTGTATTTAGCATAGCTAACAATATCTTCCTTAATCTTGAGCGGCGCTATCTTATCCTTCACATAGTAGGATTTCTTATAGGCCTGCAGCACAAGGGCCGCCCAACGTTCGATGGCCTTGTCCACGCCGCTGAGACAAAAGTCGGGTATGAAATTGGGCAGCAGCGTGAAGAGTCGCTCCATGGACATGTCTGTGCCATATTCGATGAAATACTGCTGGGCAGCTATCATAGCCAGATCCTCCTCCTTGTCGCAACGGTATTCGCCGAACTTAACACCGCGCACCACCTGCTGGTAAATGAGATTTGTGGCCACCTGATCGGTGGTTGGCTCGTGCCACGGCGCAAAGATCTCCTTGCGGAAGAATAGACGCCACGGTGCATTGCGCTCCTGGGCGCCCTGTTCCTTGGCATATTGCTCGCACTGTGATATGGCGTCCATCACATGATCACCGCCGCTGCCCAACGAGCTGACCTTGTCGAACAGCGCAATATAGAGCGAGAAGCCGAATTGATCCTTGAGCGTGATCTTCTCCGACAGCTGGTTGCACAGCTCGCGCGCTGTCGTCGCCGAATCGGCTAGCAATGTCTTCGTATTGCCATCCATAAACGTGATGGGCAGCATGATGGGCTTCTTCGATTTGGTCGCCTGCAGCTCCAGCCATGACGGCGGCTGATTTCGCGTGCCATTGTTAAAGGTGCGCTTCAGACGCTCCTCACAGTACGGCGCATAGCCGGGCGGCCCCTCCCTAATGAACGCCCGCAAGTAGTTGACAAACTTCTCCGAGGGCGCAAAGCAGCCGACGCACAACGACAACAATATCCAGCCGCGTGCATGCGACGACTTCAATGGATTGTTGGTCAATTGCTTGCATATCTGGCAATAGATTTCGTCGCGCAACTCAGCACGCAATATGCCATGGCCGATGATGAAGTGCAGCTTCTCCAGATTCGATGTGGGACGCGATTGCAGCCACGACTGATAGCTATCGGCCGTGTATTCATCATCCTGCAGCCGTCGACGCACATCCTCGCCCAATTTATTTTTGCGCTTCAAGGTCAGCGAGACGAGCTTGTGGCGTATCGAGCGCGGCTTTTGCTTAAGAAATGCCTCCGGATCGAGGCCCATCAGTTGAGCTTCCTGGAATTCCTGGAATTGAGCAACATTTTATTAATATCAATTTGCAAATCTCTGCATTCTATTCCAACACCCACTCACCTTGCTGCGGATAAAGTTCCGGCCGAGCGTCGCCGTCACCTTGGACATGACTGACGTGGTGTCCATGCGATCCATGGTATGATATTTGGGCTCCTGCATGTCGCCAGTGAAACGCAAAATGGTTATCCACAGCGCTTGCGCGGCCAATTGATCGCCCTGGGTGTGCAGCGGCAACAGCGGATGCTTCAGTGCCTTCTTCGCATACTGATGGTTCACATTGCCCTGGAAGTAGGTGGCCGCAAATTTCTGAAACTTATATTCGGACAAATCCTCCTCGTCCTCGGAGATGTGCATTGGTGTGATGATGTCATCCTGATTGATAGTCTGCCCATGCGGCAGATCATTGAACACGGACGTCTCGCGGCCGCCATGTGGTGTGGGCGCATCGCTGCTCGAATCGGGCAAAAAATCGAACATGGCCTCCACCAGTTTGCCATCGTCGACGGGCTCCTCCTGCTTGCGGGCCGCATCATTGATGATATTCATTTTGACCTCGACCCGCCGACGATCCTCCAGCTGCTCCTGCATCTCGCGCCGCTCCAGCTCGTGCAATCGATCCCGATAATGCTGTTCGGCTATCTCGCGCGCATTCTTGTTGCCCCGATGCAACAGCTCCTGCTCCTCCAGTTTGCGCAGCTGCAGCACCTCGGCGAACTGCTTATGCTCCAGCTGCAGCTTGCGATAGCGACGCACGGCAATCATGCGCCTCACATGCGACTGTATCTTGATGACCGCCCACATCTTATTGCCGTACTCGCGTCGCACCAAATAGCCGCGCGCATGCGCCTGCAGTCCCACAATGTGTCCGCGCAAGTGTCGGAAGCGATGCGAGAGGACACGCGAACGGATCAGCGCCTGCAGTCGCATATAGCCCACGCGCATGCTGCGATACCGTTTGCGCTGCGCATAGCCCTTCCACACCCGCTGCACGCTGATCGCTGCCGCGCGCAGCCGCAGGAAGCGCCGCCGGTAGACCCAGCCGCGTATGCTGCGCTGCAGTATCAGTATTTTGCGTGTGAGCACACGATCGCGCTCCTGCTCCAAGAACAGATCGTGAGCGTCCTTCAGGAACACCTTGGTGTGCCCCAATTGGTAGTCGGATTTGCCCAGGACCATGCCACAAATTCTCGATGTCGCCGACATGCAGTCGGTGCGATGCGCCGGCGGTACGCCGGCTATCAGAAAACGATAGCGTTCCACGAATTCCCGGAATCCATGCCGTATGGGATAGCCGGCACGCCGTATTCTTATCGTTTCCATCATGCCCGAATAGCGCAACTGGCGACAGCACAGGCCGCGATCGAACATCATCGGCTTCTTCAGCTCGTTGGGCTTGATGCAGCGTATAAAGAACGGCTGGCAGCTGCTCAACGTCTTCATCAGGGCATCCAGACTCTTCCGAAACTGTGTGGACAGTGTGGGTGTGCGTTTGCGCGTCTCGGCGCCCATCTCGATGTCCTGGGCAAAGATCTGGCGCAAGAACTTATTCGCGCTCTGGCTAACCAAGTGCAACAGATCCGGACTGAAGGTGTCCCGATTCTTGTCCAGAAAGCCGCGAGTATCGTAGAACACAATGCCAGCGAAATGATTGAGACCGAAACTCGTATTTATATCCGATTTCGGTTTCAGATAGTTCTTGTGCGCTCCGTGCGTTTTATGCAGCTTGGCGAGCATTGTCTGATCGGTGCCCTTGGGAAAGCGCGCCTCCTCGTCGATCAAGGCCATGATGTTCAATTGCTTGATGGCTATCAGATCGAGCGCATCCTGATTGTCCACAAATTCGATGTGCTGCCAATTGATCGCCTCGTGATTGTACTCCTCCTGCTCCAATTTGAAAATGTGCTGCACAAAGAACTGCTGCAGATTCTCGTTGGCGTAGTTAATGCAGAACTGCTCAAAGCTGTTCTGATCGAAGTTCTCGAAGCCAAATATATCCAAAACGCCGATGGCATTGCGTGACGTCGCCTTCGGCTTGAATATGGCCGAATTGATTTTACGCACAATGTGCACAAACAAACGACCATAGATGCCCTTGACGAACGCATCGCGCACATCCACCGACTGCTCCCGCGACAGCGTCGACACGACCGTCTCGCCATGGGCGAACAACGTGCGACGCGTCAGTGCATCGATCAGCGGCTGTAGGGGCAGCCCCAACAGGCCGGCAACTCGTTCTACATTGATATGTTCGGGTATTTCCGTTGCGTCCAGATTATCGACAACGGTTGCCTTATACTTAATATTGCCACAGTGCAACAGGGCGGCCAGCAGCTTGATGATCTCCCATATTTCCTGATCCGAAAACAGCAGAACCTTCATCGCTGATCGTATGTCCGAGAATTCGGCTGCATCATCGCGACCCTCACACGTAATGCTGTTGCCACCAGTCAAATATCTAACGGAAAGAAAGAGGACATCAATATATAATATATAATATGATGAAGAGACTTGTGAATGGGTTCAGGGCATAATGAATATGGAACATGATTATGATATAATAATACCTAAGATATAAGATCTTCTTTATTGATATTACAAAGATATCTGTGGCATATTGATATATTATAAATACAAGAAAGAATATTAAATAGTCTTTGCATTTCTATAGTAAAAATATGTTATGAACTATATATACTAAATATTGGACCATCAATAGATCTATAATGCCATAAATTATCATATAAAATGTACTTTATGTAATTTCACAGGATATATGCGTCTACCTAAAATGCCAATGCATTACTTTTAAAAATTAAGTTTGGCTTTATTTTTCCGGATATACTTTAGTCTATACTCTACATATAATAGCACAAGTTACTACATTAAGTCTAATTTCGAATAGATATACGATTCATTACACATTTCATATAATCAGAGATGAATTTTGACTCACTTGTAATCCGCTGCCGCGCCCAACTCCAGACGACTCTTCTCATCTGCTGAGAGACCCGCCAAGATGCAGTAGAAGACATGATAATTGCGTTCACTGTGATTTTGCGACACAATGCGCGACTTCTCCAGCAGATACTGCTCGATCTTGGCGCCCTCGATAACCCCATTAGCGCTAAAATGGATGTCTATATATTTGCCGAACCTAAAGTAAAAAGAAAACAAAAAAGTAATTAAGTTAATTGCTTTGAGTACGCCACAGAGGCTTACCTTGAGGAATTATCGTTGCGTATCGTCTTGGCATTGCCAAAGGCCTCCAAAATGGGATTAGCCTCCAGTATTTGCTGCTCGATCCACGAGTGTTTGCCACTGATCGCTGCCAGATATTGCAAGATCAGCTTTGTGCTCTCCGTTTTGCCGGCGCCCGATTCGCCAGATATGACGATGCATTGATCCTGGCGATAGCGTTTCATATGCGCATACGCATTATCGCCAATAGCGAAAATGTGCGGCGGCAATTCGCCGATTTTGCGCTCCTTATAAAGCTTGATCTGATCGCCCGTATAGATGGGCAATATCTGATATGGATTGACCGCAACCAAAATGGAGCCGGTGTATGTCTGCAATGAGTATATTCAATATGAGAACAGTAGTAGATTATATATACCTATCCATATACATACATATATTAGATTCTCTTTGTAGCGTATGAGCAGATTACGCAATATGCCCGCCTCGTGCAGATCACCGAGCGATATCATATCCTCGACACCCTGCACGGATGAGGCATGCATTGCCTTGATGCGACGCTCCGGCGCCAGCCACACCTCGTCGCCATCGTCGTCGCGCACCTGAATGCGACGACCCTCCGCGGAGATGACACGTGCTCCAATGGCCACATCGAATTCCCGTCCCGACGCGGGCTCTATCCAGATGTAGTCACCCTGTGAAAAGCAAAAAAATAAACAAATATATGTATGAGTACGTATGTAAAAAGCAAGCGCTTACAATTCCAGTTGGGAGGGTTGCCACATAAAACCTTCTTTTTTTACAAGAATCACTTGAGCGTAACATAAAAAAAAAAAAAAAAAACACTAAATAAACGTACTCAGGGACAGACTTGATAGATATACGAGGCATGGGAGCTATTCACATTTACAACTACAAAGCCAAATAAACAAGTCGAAAGGCAACAATTGAAAGTATGAAAGTGGTAAATACCCTATATCATATAAAATATATTGTAAACCAAATGATTCTCATAAGCATATGTATATTTCCTTAACTATAAATCTATATATTATATATATATATATATACTTCCGTAATAACTATTGTAACATATTGAAACATGAGATACCTTGTAACGCATTTAAGCTCTATTTTAGTGCTATTTACACTCATTATATTTAGTTCAAGAAATTCTAGAAATTTCGAATCATATTCAAATTAACGACTTTCATCGATTTTAAAACTGTCGCAAAAATTGCAAAAATATTTAGTTTTGTTCATTAATTGGTTGTTCAACACTTGTAGCACTACTATTTCAATCAACACAGGTGTATATATAAATCACACATCATATATAAATATGTACATATATACATATATATACATATATATATGTCTAGCATATGCTCCAACATTCATTTGCATATCTACATCATCTTCGTTTTACACTTTTCTTTTAATGGTTACAGGGCATACACGTATTGGCACGTACATGTGTGTGAGTATATATATGTTTGTTTGTCTGTGTTTGTGCACTTCCGTTTGCTGTTTGGTTTAGCCATAAAGAGAGTTGATGGATGCATTCTTCCACTCTCACACTCACACTCTCTCGCTCACTCTCTCTTTGACTCTCTTCGATCGGCGCTCTTTACTTACACGTGTTACAATCACCATGTTCGTCGTCCTTCATTTACTACTCCTGGCGCTCTCTGGCATTCAAATGCAAAGCCCGTTTAGCTCTGTAAGCAGAGAAGAAGAGAAAATCAGATAAGATAAGAGAAGACTGAAGACAAAAGAGTAATAACAATAAAAAGAAGAAAATAACAAGTTGCTGCAGGCGCTTAAAACCGGCTTTAAAAATAAATAAAAAAAAAACACACACACAAGTAGAAGAGTTGGAAATTAAGGTGAAGTTTACGGTAAATTGAAAGAATTTACACAGTTGTCGTCTACTGCTGCTGCTTCTTCTGCCTCTTCTACTTCTTCAGTAAAAACGTCTCTGTTCATTTCCTCATTTCTTTTTAGCGACAATTTGATTACTGTTGTTATTTTTTCTTAAAGGGAAACTAAAAGTCAAAACCTTAACAAAAGAAGAAGAAGAAGCAGAAAAAATATCGAGAGACAACAAAGCCAAAGCCAAAATACAAAAAATAAACCTTTAGATATGCAAAAAAGGCCAACGCACAATTTCACTTTTAATAATTGTATTTGTTGTTGTTGTATTTAGTTCCCAATCAGAACGAGCATTGCGTTTTGTTATGCAAATAATAATAAATGTGTTTTGCTTAGTTTGGCTTATTGAAACTTTATTTTTGGATTTGTTTTCATTGAAAATATTTACTTTCATTGCTTATACGGCGCTGTGGGCCATAGAAATTAGTGGGCCAAACGAAAGGTGAAGACCATCACTAAATAGGAATATAGTATTATTATATATTTATGTATGTGATATTTTAATTGAAAAAAAAAGAACTATGACTAATTTGAAAAAAAACATTTATGACTTCAATATTGAACTATATACACAAATCTGTCTACATATATACTTTTAATCATTTCAACGGAGCTTATCTTCAGAAAAGGCTAGTTTGATTCTAAATCAGTTGTGTATACATATGTATTTAAAGTAAATTAGTTTTCGATTAAAAAAATATATATTTTCAGGTAATCTTGGACCAGGTAAAAATGCGTCATAAGCTAATTGCACAGTTGGAGGCGTCGCTATGTATACACATATGCATGCCTGTATACATATATATGTGTGTGTAATTGCAGACAGCTAGTTTTTGTGGCACACACACGCACACACACATTAAAGTACGTTAAATAGTCTGGTTACGCTCTGACGATCAAAATACAATCCACCCCACATTGAGCTACGGAGAGCATGAAAGAGAGAGACAGAAAATGTGGGAGAGTGAGGAAGAGCTAAAGACAGGTAAGTGCTCAAGTGTTCTACACTCAACATTATTTAAATGCGGATTGCCTAATAATGTTATCAGTAGACAAGCAACTGATAAGCCCTTACGACTGTTACATTGGGCATGACGAAAGAAAAAATAAACAAACAGTAAATATAAATATTATCATTGAAGCTAAAGCACGTTCCAATTGCATATTCGGATGGTGACAGACACAAGTTCCAGTTGAAATTGGTGGAAGAGTGGGCAGCTAAGCATAGCATTTTGCTTGGATTGTGATATTAATAACAAAGATACTCTATCTGATTAGAGGTTGTCTGTTTTAATTTCAATGGTGACATATATGCATTCTAGTTAGAATGATATAAAGAGTGAAGCAGTGCAACATATTTTCCAGTTACTAGTACGAACTTGTCTCTTTTGGCTGAGCTGTATAACAGAATATAGGTAATTCTGATTGGCATTGGACAATGCATACAAATGTATACAAATGTATATTTATGTATTTCTTACTAAATTCTGCAACTGAGTTTTGTCATACTCAATCTAATTAGTATATATCAGCACGGTTCTACGGAGTATGTGAATTTCTTATTAGATTCGAGACACGATTTCTGATATAAACTATCTAATTAGAATTTGGCAAAAACCCGTAACAATGCATGCATGTAAGCGATAACAGCGGCTAAATCGAAATAAAATCTGATTTGAAATACATCACATTTCAGCACGTATGGGATAAGCACGTGCCTGTGTGTGCGTGTGCGTATGTGCGTATGAGTGTGTGTGTGAACGAATGCATGTGTGCAGAGTTCACCAAGTCATTAGTGAAAGTTCGTATCGCACTGCCACGTACATTACGTTTTAGCTATAAGTATAATGTCTATCTGCATGTTAACATATCGCATACTTCAGAAAAAGAAAAAATCGCTTTTTGTTGCTGTTGTTTTTGTTTCACTTTGACATTAACAGCACTTCAACTGTTAAGGCTGCAGTGGCGTATAAGAAGCATTTACCGCTGCTCTCTTTTGTCTTCCAAAATATACAAAGCTCGTTGTATTAGTTATGACTGCTATGTGTGTGTGTGTGTGTGTGTGTGTGTGTGTGTGTGTGTGCATTTGTATTTTTTTTTTTTTTTATTATGCCGATGCCGACCTTAAAAAAGTTTCACCAAACAAACAGAAAGTCGCAGTCGACGCTGCCGTCGCTGGCTGCGTGTGGCGGCTGCAAAGTCGCGAAAGCTGCAAAGCCAACCACAACAACAATAACTATGTTAGCAGACAAAGACAAGCAAAAACAAAATAGACATTAAGTGTAGCGTTTAAGGTGTTTTTATTGAAAAGGGTTCTCAGCGCAGCAAGCTACAAAATGTCCCGTTGTGCAACAAACCGGCCAAACAAGTGCTGTTGTTGCTGTATAAAATTCTAACCCCGGCTCAAGCGCAATCTCAAGGCTTGAGAGCAGCAAGCTATCCACTTTTTTTTCTTTCCAACTTTTCTATGAATTGAATGTGTGTGAGCAAAAATAAAAAAAAAAATCAAAAGAGCGAGGCAGAGGGAGAGAGCGCGGTGTGGAGGCACCYATTTATACGAATGTGCAGTGTGAGCCGCTCTTTACACAGGGTACTCTCTTTAACAGGTGTCCAAGTGTGTGTGTGTGTGTGACTTGATGTGTTGTTATTTATTAAACTCTTTCGCTCGCTCGCTCTCTCTCTCTCTCTCTCACCCATGTGTGTGTGTTTGTGAGTATGCGCTTATTAGTACCGTTCTAGCCAACGAAACCTGAAGCGTAGCTAACTATAATTTGGTCAGAGGCTTAGCCATAATGCAGCCACGTCTCAGCTCATCTGCTGATACACACATACACATACAGTTGGGTGTCAGTTTCACTTGTGACCCTTAAAAAACACAAATAACTACGCCCTTGGCTATCTCTGATACTCTTATTAGTTTTTCAGCGCACTTTTCTAGTTTTACACACACTAACACATGACTTGCAGGGTGAATGCACTCATTTTTTTGTTCTACACCATTAATGAGTTTGAAGAGAGCATTTGACTGTTTAAAACAACGTTCGATAATAAACGAATCTTTTTTCTCATGTTCTAAGCCAACAGCTATTAGCGTATATACTATAATTAACACTTTGTTCACTTTTTAGTCCCGTTTAGGTACGAGTTCCAGTTCCAGACCCAGACCAGATCCAGAGTCAGAGTCGGGCCGAAACTTGTAGCATTGGGCGATTTTTGTTGAAGCGGTATATTCTTTAAAACAGGTTACATAAATAGGTCACGCACCATCGAGTGCCAGTGCCAGTGCCACTGCGAGTGCAACCGCGCAACAGGTTAACAATGGCCGCTTGGACTTTAACTTTGACTTTAACTTAAATGAAAAATAATTGCCAGCATTAAGTACACACGCGTAAACACATTTGCTTAGCTAATTTTGTTATTGGCTTGGGTGATTATTTTYTTTCTTTCTTCTTTTTCTTTCTTTCTAGCTGTTGCTTCTTTTTAACGGTAGTTACCTCAACAACCAAAATAACCAACCGAGCACAAAACCGAACACAACCGATCGTTGCTAACAAAATTTGTGAACTGTCGGCAATGTGACCTGTCTACGATAGTAAAGAAAAGCGCCGCTCAGCTACAGCAGTGTGACCAAGCTGTTTGTTAGCTAAATGGTTAGTCTTTTTAATTGTAAACTTTTAACACTAACCAGAGAACACATAGACTAGACATCTAGAACAAATTTTTTCACCGACGAAAAAATGCGCCTAGGAGACTACACAACTTCGTATTTGCTCGGCTCAGTCTCTTGAGGCTCAAGCAGTGAAATTATTGCACGACAAAATCAGTTTGCTGCAAGCGCTCAAACGAAATGGTACCATTCTTATATGAAGCACGGCTATGCGCTATTTGTCCTACTCTCTCTCTCTCTCTCTCTCTCCATGGCCTCTCAAATAGCAGCAGCGCACAGAAATTGAAAATTGTTCGCGACGATCCCAGCTCTTTCCTTTTGAGTGAAGGGTATACCGAAATTATAAAAGCGTTTGTCACGCTCATGCAAGCAACATGTAAGCGTTTCGATGGTTATTCGTGGGAAGGGTATGAAAGCGTTGATACGCATAAAGAATATGATTTCGCGACGGGCA